AATGAATCTGCGCGCGATTGATTCTATTCGCATGAATGCGTGCATGGATACGCCCAGTGTAAATGTATGTATACGACTGTGAACAGCTTGGGTCTGCGTGACTCTCGGTACTCGTGGCTCTGAGCGTCGCCTCTGCAGGGGGCTTCCCTGGGAACCCCGACGGCAGCGCCCGCGCGCCGCGACGCCCATGTCGGCACGCCACACACCTGGTGTGCGGGACGCATGCGGACGGCAGCACTGGGGCCTTCGGTGGAGCTCCCTGTGGGGCCACGAAACGTGTGAGGGGTGTGCCGAAATGGGTGTGCGGGACGCATGCGGACGGCAGCACTGGTGCCTTCGGTGGAGCTCCCTGTGGGGCCACGAAACGTGTGAGGGGTGTGCCGAAATGGGTGCGCGGGACGCATGCTGACGGCAGCACTGGGGCCTTCGGTGGAGCTCCCTATGGGGCCACGAAACGTGTGAGGGGTGTAAATGGGTGTGCGGGACGCATGCGGACGGCAGCACTGGGGCCTTCGGTGGAGCTCCCTGTGGGGCCACGAAACGTGTGAGGGGTGTGCCGAAATGGGTGTGCGGGACGCATGCGGACGGCAGCCATGGGGCCTTCGGTGTAGCTCCCTATGGGGCCACGAAACGTGTGAGGGGTGTGCCGAAATGGGTGTGCGGGACGCATGCGTACGGCAGCACTGGGGCCTTCGGTGGAGCTCCCTATGGGGCCACGAAACGTGTGAGGGGTGTGCCGAAATGGGTGTGCGGGACGCATGCGGACGGCAGCCATGGGGCCTTCGGTGGAGCTCCCTATGGGGCCACGAAACGTGTGAGGGGTGTGCCAGAATGGGGGGTGGAACCGCATGCGGGCCAGCCACTGGGGCCTTCGGGTGGAGCTCCCTATGGGCCCACGAAACGTGTGAGGGGTGTGCCGAAATGGGTGTGCGGGACGCATGCGGACGGCAGCCATGGGGCCTTCGGTGGAGCTCCCTATGGGGCCACGCAGCGTGTGAGGGGTGTGCCGAAATGGGTGTGCGGGACGCATGCGGACGGCAGCACTGGGGCCTTCGGTGGAGCTCCCTGTGGGGCCACGAAACGTGTGAGGGGTGTGCCGAAATGGGTGTGCGGGACGCATGCGGACGGCAGCCATGGGGCCTTCGGTGGAGCTCCCTATGGTGCCACGAAGCGTGTGAGGGGTGTGCCGAAATGGGTGTGCGGGAGGAGGAGAGAGGAGGAGAGGAGAGAGGAGGAGAGGAGGTGGGACGCGGGGCGCTGTCTCTTCAAAACGAGGACCCAACACCACAGGATGGTTGGGAAAAATCAATCCAGACATTACTCGGGGGACGATGTTTGAACAAGTGCCAATGTTTTAGAACATGCTTTGACTATTTATTGCTTTCTCAAAAAATCCTCCTGTAGGAGGACAGGGGTGGGCCTAATCGCTGTTTTGCTGGAATTCGTCTGTGTTTTTTTGTTTTGGCAGGTGCAGGAAAATATATAGAGCACGACGAAGCACAAAACGACAACAAAACGGAACACAACGTTTAGGTCCAGCCTTGTAGGAGGACATGCCCGACCTAATGCATGGCCAGTGGCGGTGGCGCGGCGTGTCGTACGCCTGTGCCGAATGTCCCCGGGCACCCGGCGTGGGGCGGCCGGGGCGGCACCGCCGTGAAGTGAGGCTCGGGGACCTCAGCAAGCTACTTCCCCACTAGGCCCCATGGGCAGTGGTGAGTGCCCTCCCTCCTCCGGCCTCCTCCTCCTCCTCCTCCTCCTCCTCCTCCTTTTCCTCGTCTCCTCCTCCCCCTCCTCCTCCTCCTCCTCCTCCTCCTCTTCTCTCCTCCTCCTCCCCTTCTCCTCCTCCTCCTCCTCCTCCTCCTCCTCCTCCTCCTCCTCCCTCGTCCTACTCCCCCTCCTCCTCCTCACTCTCCTCCTCCTCCTCCTCCTGCCTCCTCCTCCGCCTCCCCCTCCTCCTCCTCCTCCTCCTCTCCTCCTCCTCCTCCTCCTCCTCCGCCTCCTCCTACGCTGGGCTCTTCCTCCTCCTCCTCCTCCTTCTCCTCTTTCTCCTCCTCCTGCTCTTTCTCCTCCTCTTCCTCCTCCTCCTCCTCCTCCTCCTCCTCCTCCTCCCCCTCCTCCCCCTACGCTGGGCTTCTCCTCCTCCCCCTCCTCCTCCTACTCCCCCTATCAGCCGTTCCCTTCTTCCTCCCCTTCCCTTCCAGCTTCTACATCGCCCCTTCTCCTTCCTCCCTGTGCCTCGCTCCCTGCCCCCACGGCCCCAGTACCCGTCTATCTTGTGGACGGCTGGTCACTGGGGCCAGGCGTGTCGGGAGGCGAAGGTAGGCCAGAGGGGGAGGAATGATGGGGGAGGAGGCGGAGGGTGGTGGGAGGGAGGAAGGGGGAGGAGCGAGGAGGGAGGTGGGAAGGGGAGAAAGAGGAGGGAGTGGTGAATGTGGAGGAAAAGGAAGAGGAGGAAGAGGAGGAGGAGGAGGAGGAGGAGGAGGAGAAGGAGGAGGACGGGGACGAGGGAGAGGAGGAACAGGAGGAGGAGGAGGAGCGAGGAGGGAGGCTGGAGGCTAGAGGTGGGAGGTGGGGTCCTTCTCGTCCTCGCCCTGGCCGTTGTCGTCGTGGTCGGCTTCGTGATCGTCGTCCCTCGTCGCCCCTCGTCGCCCTCGCCGCCGTCGTCGTCGTCGTCGTCGTTGTTGTTGCTGTTGTTGTTGTTGTTGTTGTTGTTGTCGTTGTTGTTGTTGCTGTTGTTGTCGTCGTCGTCGTCGTCGTCGTTGTTGTTGTTGTTGTTGTTGTCGATGATGTTGTTGTTGTTGCTGTTGTTGCTGTTGCTGTTGCTGTTGTTGTTGCTGCTCTTGATGTTGTTGTTGTTGTTGTCGATGATGTTGTTGTTGTTGTTGTTGCTGTTGAACATTATTAATTCTAAAGAATAATTATTGTTGGGACCCCTGGTGCACGGCCCCCCCGCCGCGCCTAGGCCGCAGCTACATTTTCATCATTTTTTCGCGAAAGCTTCAGAAAAGTGGATGGGGTCCAGATCCGGTTGTTTTGTTGTAATCCGCTTTCCCTTGCAAAAAAACACTAGAAAATTACATTTCTTGTTCTAATATAATCAAATGTCAAGAATCCCTTGCAAAAAATAAGGTAAAGTGGACATTCGCGCGCGCAAGACGAAATCCTTCCAAAACCTTAGTGTTCGCAGCGATTTTAACATAAAAACATAAAAAAACCAATGGTTTTTCAACAAACAAATGTCAAAATCTCATCCCGCGCGCTCTTGCGGATTCGTAGGAAAACCAACACTTTTTAAACATTTCTGTCCAACGGGCTTTTGCGAGCAACTTTTTCGAACTTCTGCGACAACGGTTGCGCACCTGCCAGGGCCATCATCCCTGTCAAATAATACCATGCGGGACACATTCGTTTTTTCTTCGCGCGCGCGCTGCTGGGTTCACAAGGCTTAACAACTTCTGTGGGTGTACGAACGTAGGCTTAACAACTTCTGTGGGTGTGTACTCCACGCCAGTGTAGTAGCCACGGTCGTCCGCAGGCCACGAAGTGAAGTGTCCGAACGTCATAGGGCGGGAAGCTGGGTGTGGGTGGTGGCGAAGAGTCGTGTGGATATTTGGTAGAGCTTGCACTGCCCCCCCACAAAGTGGGGGTATTGGCTGGCGTCGCATGAAAACCCTGGCACTGGTGAGAACACTGAGCGTTCGGGTAAAGTGATTGTTGTTGTTGTTGTTGCTGTTGCTGTTGTTGTTGCTGCTCTTGCTGTTGTTGTTGTTGTTGGTGTTGAACATTATTTATTCTAAAGAATAATTATTGTTGGCCCCCTGGTGCGCGCCCCCCCTGCGCCGCCTAGGCCGCAGCTACATTTTCATCATTTTCGTGAGGAAGCCTCAGAAAAGAGGGTGTGTACAGGATCCGGTTGTTTTGTTGTAATCCGCTTTCCTTGCAAAAAACAATAGAAAATGACATTTCTTGTTCTAATATAATCAAATTTCAAGAATCCCTTGCAAAAAATAAGGTAAAGTGGACATTCGCGCGCGCAAGACGAAATCCTTCCAAAACCTTAGTGTTCGCAGCGATTTTAACATAAAAACATCAAAAAACCAATGGTTTTTCAACAAAAAATTGTCAAAATCTCATCCCGCGCGCTCTTGCGGATTCGTAGGAAACCCAACACTTTTTAAACATTTCTGTCAAACGGGCTTTTGCGAGCAACTTTTTCGAACTTCTGCGACAACGGTTGCGCACCTGCCAGGGCCATCATCCCTGTCAAATAATACCATGCGGGACACATTCGTTTTTTCTTCGCGCGCGCACGCCGAAATCTCCAAAAACCATTGGGCTTCTTAAGAATTTTAGCACCGCGCATCATAAAATCACACGAATCGCACCGTAGGTCCTCGAAAAACACCTGCACGACTTTTCAAAATTTCTACCCGCGCGCGCTGTCCGAATCCTAAAAAAACCAATGGTTTTCCAACATTTATGTTACATGAGCTCGCGCGAGCTGCTTTCGCACGTTACATGTGTATCATGTGTATCATGTACCATATGCATCACATGTAACAGATGTTCTGTGGAAGGCTTAACAACTTCTGTGGGTTAACAAGGCTTAACAACTTCTGTGGGTGTACGAACGTAGGCTTAACAACTTCTGTGGGTGTGTACTCCACGCCAGTGTAGTAGCCACGGTCGTCCGCAGGCCACGAAGTGAAGTGTCCGAACGTCATAGGGCGGGAAGCTGGGTGTGGGTGGTGGCGAAGAGTCGTGTGGATATTTGGTAGAGCTTGCACTGCCCCCCCACAAAGTGGGGGTATTGGCTGGCGTCGCATGAAAACCCTGGCACTGGTGAGAACACTGAGCGTTCGGGTAAAGTGATTGTTGTTGTTGTTGTTGTTGGTGTTGTTGTTGTTGTTGTTGTTGTTGTTGTTGTTGTCATCGTCGTCGCCCTAGCTCCTATATGATGCGCCCGGGCGGCCGGCGGCGCGCGCCTACCCCCGGAGGCCCCCGCGGCGAGCTGCGCCGACCCGGAAGCCCCGGCCCTGGACGGCTGCGGCGGGAGTCGGGCGGGTGGCAATGGCCTGGCATCGCTCGGACGTGTGTATTTTTTTTCTCGGCGAGGACCCTTGAGGACCATCCTGGACCATCGTGCGAACAAATCACGCACGAAACCGAAAAATGCACGGGAAATGGACGTCCGAGCGATGGCGAGATGGGGGGTGACTTGAACCCAGACACCATTGCGTCGTAAATAAACAGGAAATCAGCACGGGAGGTGTTTGGTTATTTTTCGGCCCCCGGGGGGCCCTAGGACGAAAAATTGGTCCTGGGGAAAGGGTCGATACTTCCGGGGTCGCCGTCTTGAACAAAAATCAAGACGCCGCATGTCTGGGAATAGGGGGTAACCTGAATCTGGGGCGCCCTCGCGGACGCGAAGTTCGTCGCGCTTCGCGGTTCGGCTCCAAGTCCTCCTCTGCCCCGGAGGGGCGGCGCGGGAGCGCGGAGGTATTCGCGCTCCGCGACGCGCGGCGTTTTGCGCCCTTGCAATGGGGGGGTGGCCTGAATGGGTGGTCGCCCCCCATTTAGGTCCCCCCCCCCGCGGAAATGCTCCCTTCCCCTCCGCCGCACAATTCTGGCACGTCTTGGTGTCCGATCGGCCCATAGCGGAGGGAGGAGACGGGGATGCTGAGGTTCGGCTGCGACTGCAGATGATGTCCATGCAGATGTCCTCGCAGTCGCCGCCGTCGCCGCCGCTGCAGAGGTCTTCGAGGCAGACATGATTAGTACGCCTTCGCCCGAGCCGCCGTGATCCTCCCCCGCCTGAGGGCCCTCTTCGTCGCCCTCCATTCAGGTCACCCCCCGTCACCCTGGCATCGCTCGGACGTGTGCGTTTTTTCTCCTCAGCGAGGACCATCGAGGAGCATCCTTGATCATTTGCCGAGAAAGCCACGCACGGAACCGAACAAAAACACGGGGAATGGACGTCCGAGCGATGGCCAGTCACCGCCCGCCCGACGGGGGGGCAGGGCTGCAAGGGGGCCCGCGGCGGGAGGCGGCCATGCCACGACCCGGCGGCGAGCCACCGCCACCCTCAGAATCAGCATCACCATCAGCAGCACCATCACCATCACCATCACCATCACCATCATCCCCGCCCTCGTCTTCCACCTCCTCCTCCTCCTCCTCCTCCTCCTCCTCCTCCTCCTCCTCCGTCCTCCTCCTCCTCCGGCCTCCGCATCCTCGTCCTCCTCCTCCTCCTCATCCTCCTCCTCCTCCGTCCTCCTCCTCCTCCGGCCTCCTCATCCTCGTCCTCTTCCTCCCTCTTCCTCCTCCTCCTCGTCCTCCTCCCCAGTCTTCCTCCTCCGTCCTCCATTCCTTTTCCTCATGAATAACTCTTCCCTGTCGCACCTCGAGGTCAATCGGAAGGGTGGGCCCGGTGTTTCGCCTGAGACGTCATTGCCACGTATGAGCCTCAAGCAGAAATATTGACAACAGCTTCGCAGATGGAGGGCGGGTCGCTTCCAAAATGTGGCTCTCGCCTCAGCGCCGCGCACATTCGTTTCAAACATTTGCAAGAGCTTCACGGGTTGAAAGCGGGTTGTTTTCAACAAGTGGTTCTCGCCCTAGCGCACACCTCAAGTTTAAGCATTTGCAAGAGGATTGCGGCTCGAGGGCGGTTCGTTTCCAAAGTGTGGTTCTCGTCTTAGCGCCGCGCACATTCGTTTTCACAAATGCAAGAGATTCGCGGCTTGAGGGCGGTCCTTGTCAAAATGTGGTCCTCGCCTTAGCACCGTGTGTACGTGTATTTAGTTTGCAAGAGTTTTGCTTGTCATGGTCATCGTATCAATCATCGTGCTTGGGAACGATGCAGGATTGTCAGGCAGCAGCGGTTACTTGCATGCGCGGTGGCTGAGTCCCAGGAGTGGTGATCTGGCACGTTTAACGGTACTTTCCCCCAGTGGAAGTGAACCCTTGCAGGGGCCTGTGAAGGGGGAGCCTGGGGGGAGGGTATAGATTCCATCATCGTTGCTGAGTCTTGGGCTTGCACTGGTCCTCCTCCTCCTCCTCCTCCTCCTCCCCTCCTCCTCCTCCTCCTCTCCTCCTCCTCCCCTCCTCTTCCTCCTCCTCCTCCTCCTCCTCCTCCTCCTCCTCCTCCTCCTCCTCCTCCTCCCCTCCTCCTCCTCTTCCTCCTCCTCTCCTCCTCCTCCTCCTCCTCCTCCTCCGCCTCCCCCTCCTCCTCCTCCTCCTACCCCTCCTCCCCCTCCTCCTCCTCCTCCTCCTCCTCCTCCGTCCCTGTCTCGCCACGAGGGGCACGGGGCCCAACGGAGATGTGTCCCGAGAGCTCCCGCGCCCTTCCCCCCGGGGCGCTCGGGGCGCCCAGAGCGCCGATGCCAGAAATCTCTGCGGGCAGTCGAGAAAACACGGCCATGCGATGCTGTTTCTCCATGAAAGAGGGGGAGGGGGAGGAGGAGGAGGAGGAGGAGGAGGAGGAGGAGGAGGAGGAGGAGAGGAGGAGGGTGGACGAGGAGGAGGAGGAGGGGGGGAGGAGGGAGGAGGAGGAGGAGGAGGAGGAGGAGGAGGAGGAGGAGGAGGAGGAGGAGGAGGAGGAGGGGGGGGAGGGGGAGTGAGAGGGGGAGGGAGGGAGCGAGGGGCCCATGCCAGGAAACATCCTGCTTGCCTTCAGGGTGCCCTGGGTTTCGATGGTTTCGATGGTTTTGCGGTGGAGAGCGTGACGTTCCCACACGAGAAATCAGTGGATGTCCTGGGGTCTCAGGGTGGGGTTTCTTGTGGAGAAGAATCTTGTGGACTGACCTCCACTGTGGGTGCTGATGACAGGCTTGAACTGGCCTGGACATCCTCGGCTGGAGGCCGAGACAAGGAGACGGGGGTGAGGAAGAGACCAGCCAGAGACTGGCTAAGGCCATTCCCGGCCGGAGTCAAGGAACAGTGTGAGGACCCCAAACTCAGATTCAAACGCCAACTCAACCAAACCAACTCGGCTCCGAGACCTGCTAGGAGAAGGAGAGGTGGAGGTGGGACGAAGCCGACGCCGGGGCCTCTCTTGTAGTGAACCCATGCCCTCCGCTAGGAGCGGTAGCCGGTCGACCCAGTGCGGGTGGGTACATAGCAAGTCGTGGCAGCCTCGTATATCTCCGCAGTTCCGTTTCTAAAGCGCACCGGCGTCGAGTAGCGCTTGGTAGTCGATGAGATAGTGCCGGACAGCGTCAACTTAGTTCCGCTGGCGTGGATTTGCTCCGATTCGCGAGAGCCAACCCAGACATGCGCCGTCCTGACTTCTTCAGGGCGGCGTCCCTGGAAGTCCCGACCCTTTCCCCGGGACCGGTTTTTCGTCCTGAATCCTTGTTTTTAACGGTCCCGAGGCCCGGCGAGGGCCCCCTGGGGCCGAAAATCGCCCAAAACCTCCCGTCCTGATCCTGTAGCGATGCGGTCATGCCTGGGAGCGCAAGACGGTACGGGAGACACGGTCCGAGTTCGGCTCCGTGGCCCCCGCGCGGCCCCGCGCCTGCGAGCTGCCGCGCGGGGTGTAGCCCCAGGTCGGACCTGTCCCCCTACAGGGGGATTTTGGACGAACAATGAGAAAGATCCACGAACTATGGAAAAGATGCCCAAACATATGCAACAAATGCTCAACACATGCGCAAACAATAGTCCCCGGATTATTTTTTAACTTCAGCGAGCGAAGAACGGTATAAAATAAACTCTGTCGCTGTCGGGGGCGCCTGTCCCTGGGCGCCTGGAAAGTTTATACCCCTACGGTGCCACCGTAGGGGTGTAAACTTTCCAGCCGCCCAGGGACATGCGCCCCCAGCAGCGAAAAAGTGTACTTTATACCGTTCCTCGCCCGTTAATTACTATCTTTGGATACTCCCCCTGTGGAGGGGTGTGGCCGCTGCTGCCTCGAGCGGCGGTGCCGGCGGGGCGCGTGCACGCCTCGTCCTGCCGAGGACATCTCCTGGAGCAGGGGCGGCGGCCGCGACCGCGAGGCGCCTGCCCGGGGGGGGGGGGCTTGTGGGCCTAAGTATAGTCCTCTTGATCCTCAGCCTCCCTACATCTATTTCTCCTGCTCCTTCGTCCTCCTCCTCCTCCTTTTTCTCCTCCTCCTCCTCCTCCTGTTTCTCCTACTCCTGCTCCTTTTTCTCCTCCTCCTCCTCCTCGTCCGCCTCCTCCCGCCTCGTTCTCCTCGGCCTCCTCCTCCTCTTCCCCCTGCTCATCCTCCGACCTCATCGTCCATTTCTTCCGTCTCCTCCTCAATCTCCTCCTCTTCCTCCTCCTTCTCCCTTTCCTTCTCCTCCTCCACTTCCTCCCCGTGTCCTTCGATGGCGATGTGCCTCCTCCTCCTCCTCCTTTTCTTCCTCCTCCTCTTCCTCTTCCCACCCTCCTCGTCCGTCGCTTGTGTATGACGGAGCCTCCTCCTGAACGTCCCAACCTCGTTCGAAGCGTTTGGTTGCCCAGCGTGGGCGCGGGGCCGCGACTTTCGGGTTCTCTCCCCGTGGCCTCTTGCCATGGAGGCTCTCCGTACTGTGGCACCGTGGCCCAGGGTTCCTGTACCTCTTGCCCGCGGTCCTGCCAGCGGGGCAGCACAGGCGTGGGCAGGCATGCCCCCCTCCACCCCCTCCCCCACTGCACATGAGATCGAGCCCCCCCCCCCTCTCCCCTGGCGGATGGGTACGCTCAGTGAGCCTCGCGGAGGCCTCGCGAATGGGATCGTCACCCCCTCCCCCCCCCTGCGGTCGTGGTGCCGTGGGCGCGGCGTGGTGGAGGGCGACACTGCGACCCCCGCCCTCCCCCTGTGGGTGTCGGGTGGTTCCTCGTCGTCGTCCGCCGTCCGTCGTCTGTCGTCGTCGTCGGGGCGCCCAGGTCGTCGTCGGGGTCGTCGTCGTCGTTGTCGTCGTCGTCGCCGCCGTCGTCGTCGTCGTCGTCGTCGTCAGCGTCCTCGGTGCAGCCGCGATAGAGAACGTGATGAGGGATGAGCCCAAAGAGCCGCAGGACTGGAAGGATGTGTTGGGCCGCTGCGCCTGGGCCGCCCGACAGCGAGGAATCGCTACGCCGGGCCCGCCGTCGAGTTGAGCAGTCGGACGGCGAACTCCCTCGATTGTTTGTTCTGGGCAACGAGGTCACTCTTGCCAGCAGGGAAAAAAACACAGACACAATTAATCGTCGACTCCCCAGAAAATATGGGAACATATGGGAAGTGGGGGAAGACGAACATCCAAGACATATGCGAACATTTCGGGAATCCTGTTATTTGTGTGTATTTATTTGTGTGTCCCTGGGCCCCGTTCTATTGGAGGCCACGTTGCGCGCTGCGGTAGATCCGATCGTTCCGCACTGCTATCCTGCGTCGGACCATCCAAGGATCCAGGCCCACGCGCACGAATGTCGCAAGAGGGTAGCTTCGCACTGCCCCACCAACCCTGCAGCGCCAGCGTTTTGCATGGAGGCTGTGCCGGGGCCGCGCCCGTTTGCCCCAGCCCAGCAGGCGGCGAACCCCTCCAGTTCCGCACGCGCCAAAACGTTCCCCATGCATGCTGGGACCTCTCCCACTACTTCGGGAACGCTGGCCAGGGGCTGAGGCAGCTGCTCGGGCCAGACAGGGTCAATTCCACGGGGCTCGGAGGCACACCGCACGCCTTGTTAGCGGGTGGGCCTTCCCGCCCCGACCCGGAACGTGGCAGCGCAGTAGAAGCCCATGCCGAGAAGCACCCTGCTTGCCTCCAGGGTGCCCTGGGTTTCTTAGGTTCCGATGGTTTTGCTGTGGCTTGCGTGGCGCGCCCTCACCAAAAGTCA